CGAGCTGCTGCGGCGGCCTGAGCTCACCGCCCGCGAGGTGTGTGCCAAGGCCGAGACAGCAAAAGCGGAAGGGAACCATGGAGAAAGGGCCGGACACACTCACCTGGACAGGTCCGATGCTTTTGTTTCTGCCTCCTGGCATGCCATCCTCTCTGATTGCTGAAAGAAAACAACCAAACCTCGGTGAGGAACACTACTGTTCAGTATTCCAGAAATACATAAGAAGGCATCTGCTATTTTGAAAAAAGTCTTTATATCTTAACAGATTCATTTTGCTCATCAAAGCAGTTTACACAGAAACCTCCAGTGCTTTCCAGGGCACTGGAGAGCTCGAGCAGTACACGCCGTGACCCTCACCCCAAGGGCATACGCACATCGATGGGGCTACAAGCAGTGCTCAGGGAGTTTAGTTTCTTCGTGTGATCCTCGAGTGACAGGTAGCAAAGGAACAGCAAGTCCTTTATCATAATTAACTCCAGAATAATTTGAGAAGTGGCACACAGAAAGCAACCCTACTTCACCCCTGGAAATAACCCAACGAATACCCACGACTGCTAGAAAATGAAATGTGAATGCTGGCGTTTCTAGCTCCACTGCCCGCAGCCCCCTGAACCACCGCGGGCCAGGCTCCACCGGGAGAGACACCGGCCAGCGCTGCCGACGGCACGGAGATAAAGCACTTCGGTGGTGACCGCTAACACCGCTGCTGCTGCCTCCGAGGGTCAGATCTCCTACAGCTATCGTGGCAAGGGAGGGGAGGCATTTTACCCAGCCGGTTGCAGGCAAAGCTGTTGTTTAAAATTCAAGTTACTAGACCGAGCTATGCAGTTTCATTTTGGAAGGGCAGCCTAATTTCTCAATAGAGCAGCTGCATTTTTAAGGCTCTTTAAACAATTTCCAGGGAGCTTCAGTGAAGTCCAATTAAGGAGATTATCCCAAAGCTGCTTCTCCACCTTCCTCTTCCCCCTGCTTTTCTCTTTATTGGCAGCGCAGCTCTGCAACATTCATTCAAACAGCATTCAAAGACCAGCTCTGCTCCTCGTGCGCCTCCTCTCCGGGGCCGGGTCCCCCCCGTTTATCAGGTCCCAATCTCTTTCCCACCGCGACCTGGCCAGACTTGGCAGGAGGCTCTCCCCAGCTGCGCGGTGACCTTGCTGCTGCCGGCCGGCCTCACCCTGCTCGGCACACGGGGCTGCAGGAGGCCCTCCCGAAGCAGAAAATGGCATAAAATTTAAGGAAAAATTTCCGTACGAGAAAAGCCATGCTGCTGCTTGATTTTAGACAGCCTCAGCTCAAATCATCCCCGTCTGCCTCGGTGCTGCGCTTGCAATTCAGGGATTACGCATGCGGGTTCACCCAAGGCAATCGCAGCAGGGCAGAGCTGGGCACGCACTTGGGCAGGAACTGCATTTTCCCGACTCGTGCCCACCTCGCCAAGCAGTGCCCATCACCACGCAAAACTGTCCCGATGACTTACAACTCCGCCAGCCCGTGACCAGCAGCACAGCGATCCCTGTGGCACCTTACAACGACACCTTACGAGATCAGCAATACAGTTTTAATCCTTCTAATGCAAACTCCATCACCTCCGTAGGACAGCAAGCAGTTTCATGGGAAATGCCAGATAGCATTCATTTAAGCACACTGGAGAGGCCGCAAACACAGGACACAATTATGGTTACCTTTTACATCACACAAATCTTTTAAGTTATAGCAAGACAACCACCTCATTTCAACAAACAATGCTCTTCATTTTCTATGAAAGCTCTTTCAAAAAAACATTGGTTTCTCATTAAACAAATGTGGCTGATGTAAAACTAAGCCGTCATGGCTAGCTCTCTGTTACTACCTTTAGTTTTTAACTTACTGGAACTACAGTAACAGTTTTTCAATTTGGGGGAAATGTCTCTAGTTTTCCAAGATATTTTATTGCTAACTGTGATTCGGAAAGCTGCTCAGCTAATTCCATTAAGAGCCATGGACATAAATTGTCTTGGTCTTTTGAATTCAGAGTGTAATTGTAGCAGACATTAGCTTGCATCTTCCTTTTCTATGTCCACATCATCTTACAGAACGCCTTGGAAAATCTGCCTCTGCGGAGTTTACAGTTCTTCTCAACCATGGAGACAACGCTGGTCGTCACCAGGCTGGGCTTTATTCTCCGGTGGCCTTCGTGGCCTTCTGCCTTGCCCACAGGCAGGCAGAGCTGCCCGCCCCGCTGGACTGGGCCCATGAGCCTGGCCTTTCAAACGGGCCAAGACAGCCAGCGCCGGCTGGCGAACCGTGCTGAGCTCCTGCACTGGTGAAACCGTAACCGCTGGGTGCCAGGAGGCTGCGTTGGCTGCGCAGGTCCTCGTAGCGGCGGGGGCCATTTAAAGCAGAGCTCTGTCCAAGGCGTTATCCCAGCTCGTGCGTATTATCTTTAAGACTGGTGATATTTTTCAACAACTGGAGGTTAAATGGATCCCATTACTCTCGAAGCCACTACCAGCACTCCAGCAGCTCTCTGCTGGCCAGCGGGTCGATGCTCTGCAGGCTGCCCTGCCGGACCCGCAGGCACGGAGCGTCCGACAGCAAGATTTACAGGATGCAAACTGACTTCGTTTATTTTTGTAAACTCTTACAGCTGTTCCTAGCCAGCATGGAAGAACCCCACGCCTGGGAGGTGCTCGGCAATACTTCACATCTGGTGCGATACCTGAATTGGGTATCAGCAAAGGCAAACGCAGGTTCTGCTGCAAAGCTCAGGCTTCGTGGGCCCCCACTATTCCCTGCTGCTGACAGCTCGGGTTTTGAACTCCCCTGCCTCTCAGTACATCCAGGATGCTTCACTTAAACGGGCTTTTTGGAAGCCTTGCTAGTTGCACAACCACGCCAAGATCTGCAACAAAACGTGGTCGTGTTTTTACTGGTGGTCCATCAAAAAAGGCTTCAGGAGACCTGGGTGGTTGTAACACGCAGGCGCTCTCCAGAGGAGCTGTCTTGGCAGAGGGCCGCACGACGGTCAAAGTCTCCTCAAAGATTTTCCTGCAAATGTTGAGCTCTATGCCTCATCTGAATTCAAAAATAACTATATTTAGACCTAGTTATGAAGTAACTTTGCAACTCAATTACGCAATAATTTGGGCACCACGGCATGAAAATACTGAAGAGAATGCTCCTTAACCTAGTGCCTCTCAGGGGAAAAAAGAAAAAGAAACGAAGCAGAGCCAGGCAGTAACGGCTGGCCCATCCCTGCCTGAGCGGCGGTTCTGCAGGGCGGGCAGGCCTGCACCTCCCGAAGGAGGGAAGGCACGGAGAGCCGGGGCGGCTCAGGGTGGGCGCGATGTGCGAGGGGCACGGCCCCGGCCCCCTCCGCCTGCCACACAGAAGCGGGGGTCTGGGGGCCGTCTGGCGTTTACGGGCGCGGGGGC